TTTTGGATTAGTAGTATTTCCTTCCTTTTTCATTCTGTAAAGAAAATGTTTCCCAGGCACGGGTGCCTCATGTCTATAATCCTATGTACTCAGGAGGCTGAGAGCTGAAGATCTGGATTCGAAGTCAGCCCAGTCAGGAAAATTCATAAGACTCTTATCTCAAATTAATCACCAAAAGACCAGAAGTGGCACTATGGCTCAAAGTGGTAGAGCACTAGCTTTCAGTGAAAAAGCTCAGGGACAGTGCCCAGGTACTGAGTTCCAGTCCTATGACCAATCGAGAGAGAGAGAGAGAGAGAATGTTTCCTTCTTAATCACATTAAAATATTTTTTCACAGGAAATTTAGGAAAAAGAGGTTGACTTTGTCTCACTGTCTATAAATTTTAGAGATAAATGTACAAGAAACCCTAATGGGCAGTTATAAGATCTTTTGAATAATACAATGTAGTAATGTTAATATATCTTAAATACTTAATGATTGTTTAATGCCCAATATGTTCTTTCTCATTTCTGTGGAAGTGTCTTTAAATCGAACCATGCTTTTACATGACTATCCTAGTCATTAAAATGTTCCTTCTTGGTCCAGGCTGCTCTGGGGCATGGGAGGTTTGTAAGTAATGGCGGTGCTTGATCTCCCAATTTTTACGGAGGTTATCTTCTTCCTAAGGACAAGTGGAATAAGTCCTTCCTTCAGGGCAGGTAGCAGTTCAAAGACTGGAGAAACTACCACTTGCCGCAGAAGTGGATGAGCACATGGAGCTGCTCCAGCAAGGACATGTCTGAGGCAGGCGCAGAGGCCAGTGCAGAGGCCTAGGTCAAAGCTGAGGCAGGTAGGGAGAAGCCTCGCGGGAAGCCAGCAGGCTGGCGCAGCTGCCTAGGCAGGCATGAAGAAGTAAAACATGAGGCCGACTTTGAGGCCCAGGCGAGCACAGAGGCAGAGGTTTGGGCAGGCTAAGAGAAGGTGCTAGCAAGAAACGCAGGCTGATGCAGAGGACTAGGAGAGTGCAGAGACCTGGGAAGGCACAAAGGCCCAGGCGAGCACAGAGGCAGAGGCCTACGCAGGCACACAGAAGGTGTGTATGAGATAGGCAAGCTGGTACAGAGGTACAAGGCCCAGGGAAGCAAAGAGGCAGAGGTCTGCGCAGGTGCAGAGAAGGTACAAACAAGGCAAGGCAGGCTGATGCCGAGGTCTTGGTAAAGCACAGAGGCCTGGGCAGGTGCGGAGGCCCAGCAAGGACAGAGGCTGAGGTTTGCACATGCGCCAGAGAAGCATGGAAAGCAGGCTCATGGACCTGGGTGAGAGCAGAGGCAAAAGCCTGCACAGGCGCTGAGAAGGTGAGCAAGAGGCAGGCATAGAGACCTCAGTGAACATAAAGCGCACTGGAGGCGAGGCAAGGCAGGCTGGTGCTGAGAGGCCTACGTGAATGCAGAGGCCTGGTCAGGTACGCAGAAGGCATGCATGAGGCAGGCGCAGAGGCCCTAGCAGGCACGTGAGCAGCAGGGGCAGAGGCCCGGGCATGCACATGAGCAGCAGGCGCAGAGGCCCGGGCAGGCACGTGAGCAGCAGGCGCGTGAGGGGCAGGCGCGTGAGGGGCAGGTGTGGGGGAGGCAGGCCGTTTGGCCCAGGCAGTCAGAGAGATGCATGAGGGGCCGGCACAGAGGCCAAGGCAGCGGCAGTAGGGAAGAGAGCTTGCTGGTATTCCTGTACTCTGTGTGCCCGATGGCCGCTGGGCTGGCTGTGCTGAGTGACCTACCGGGAAGACACCTAACTGCATCTCATTGCCCTGTATCTCCTGTAATGTTTCTTTGGATTGGGAACAAATTATCCAAACTATAAGAGGAAGACGGTTGCATTCTGGAAACTCTGTACCATACAGGCTGCTCCCCCAACCTTGGCTACAAGTACAGATGAATTCCTAATCTAGATCTCGAGGGACTTGTTTTGACTGTTTTGAGGCTGTTAAAAGTTATACTTTAGGGTCCTCTGAAAAACTTCTACTGTCAAGAAAATAGAGGGTTTTTTTTTGTTTTTGTTTCTGTTTTTTAAATATTGAAAGTAGGTTGAATTACAAAAGTCCCTAAAGCAGATGGAAGATGTCTTGGTAGCATTACAAAGGAAGCTCTGGGAGGTTGAGTCAAAGTTGGCTCCCCCCGTACCCCCCACCCCGACCCCATGCCATAACCCACCCCTCTCTCTGTCTCTCTCCTCTGCTTGCCTCCCTCTCTCTCTTATGTTTTTTGACCCATATTTCTTAAATGAGAAGTGTTGTAAAATTGACCCTGCAGTTATATTTTATGCAAAGGTGGGATTGTCACCCTCATTTAAATTTTAGAGCCATTTTATATCTCCTACAGTTGGAATTTAGGAGTTTTTATTTTAATCAAAGATTTGAAGGCCCATCCAAACTCTATTGTTTTCTGCGTTAAATTCACTATATTTGACTTGAGAAAAGAAAAAAAAACCTATGTCATTTTTAATTACATTGGACAATACTTAATAGTGAATTATGACAAAAATTTAAACCTATTCCCCACTTTACTATGTGGTTCAATCTTTGAAAACTATGTGTAAAGCTCTCTGGAATAGCTGGTCAGTTAAATCGTGTCAGAATTATTTGAAAACTTGCCCAACAAGAGCAAGAGATCATCTATCAGCCATCGCCACAAAGGGTCTTCCCACTTCTACAGGGCAAAACTATGGATACTGATACAGAGCCTGTCCTATGGCCTTCTAAGATTGCTGTAAAAGCACCAGGTATGTGCACAATTGTTCAGGCCTTTCAGCTGTGGGAAGACTGTGTGTGCACAGGGGTTGTGCTATGCAGCAAGGAGCAGAAATGATCAACAAGATATACCCAGTGATGTCACAGAGCTCTTCAGAGCTGAAAGTATACATACCTGTGTACCTGTCCACATGCCTGTCCATGCTGTCACTGTCTCTCTAACTTTTGTGGTCTGCACTGGCCTCAAACAGTTATCCATCTCTGCCTCTGAGATTACATGTGTGTATCCTATGCCTGGCTCAAACTCAAGTTGGCATTTTTTTTGGGGGGGGGAGGTGATTAGTTAGTACTGGGGTTTGAACTCAGGACTTCACTCTCACTGGACAGGTACTTTGATGCTTGAGCCATACCTCCAGACCTTTTTTCTCAAGTTATGTATGAGAAAGGGTCTCACTCCTTGCCTGTGCCAGCCTGGTCCATGATCTTCCTATGTCGCTGTGATGATCTGTGTGTACCATTACATGCTTTTCTAGTTGAAATAGGATCTTGTGAATATTAATGCCAGGCTACATTTTCCCCAATTTCAGCCCTTTTTTGCTATAGTTTTGATAGTGTGTTGTGTTTTGGCCTCAGAAACTGTCTGCCTACATATAGCCTCCCAAGAATGGATTGCTGTGTGAACCATTGCATCCTGCTGTATGGGTTTATTTTAAAGCTAAGTACTCTTCTTAGAATGGGTTACTTTGCTCATTTTGTAAAATTCTTGTCTTTCTCCTGAGTTATTGATAAAACATTTAAAATTGATTATAAAGTTTGGTGTTTCTACTGAAAGATCATTTCCTGGTCTGTCACTTTGTGTGTCTGTGTGTATGTGATTGCACATGCATGTGAGTGTGCACACACCAGTCCTGGGGGTGAACTCAGGGCCTGCTTGCTATCCCTTTGCTTTTTTGCTCTTCCACTTGAACAATGGTGGACTTCCATCCTTTTGTTGGTTAATTGGAGATATGAGTGTCATGGACTTTCCTGTCCAGGATGACTTCATATTGCAATCCTTATATCTCAGCCCCCTAACTGGCTTGATTTATAGCCTTGAACCACAGGCACCCAACTATCAATAACTTTTAATCTTCTTAATCACATTTAATCCTCTTACTTTTATTTGTTTTTTTTTTTGCGGGGGAGGTCCAGTCGTGGGGCCTGAACTCTGGGCCTGGGCGCTGTCCCTCAGCTCTTCAGCTCAAGGCTAGCGCTCTACCACTTGAGCCACAGCACCACTTTCAGCTTTTTTTCCTGCTTACGTGGTGCTGAGGAATCGAACCCAGGGCCTCATGCATGCAAGGCAAGTGCTCTATCACTGAGCCGCCTTCCCAGCCCTCCTCTTACTTTTAATCTTAGTGATTTTATTTGTATTGTTTTATTACAAAAAGAAGTTTTAATATCTTTCTCTCTGTAGCACAGGATGGCCTGGAACTCATGACTTTCCTGCTTCAGACTCCTAAATTCTGGGTTTAAAGGCAAGGTTCTGAGGTAGATGACCTATTGAGTCTTAACTCAGACACAGAAACCACACCTCAGTGACTGGACTTTGTCAGTCTGTCTAGCTACCCTTGTTTTCAGAATCTCAGAGCTAAAAAGGGCATGAAGTTTTTGGGTTATTTTTTGGGTTGGGTACCCTCTTTACCCCTAAATCAGGATCCTCTCAGTGAGTATTTCTATAACCAAGAGGCCTGTTCTCTCATACTACAATGATTAATTTCTGAGACCACTGTGGAAAATGATAGAGTTCCCTTATCTGAGATGCAGCTGCCTCCTGTCAGACTGAAATAATTGACAGAGTATAATATGGAGTGAAATAAACCTTCCATTAAAAGACTTGAGAAAGAAGAGTTGCAACAATGGTACTACAGTGTTACATAACAAGAAAGAAAACAGAACAAGTACACAATGGAAAAACTACCTCAGAGACAACTGGATGTTGGGAGATGGTTGAAATTTATTCAAACACCAAAACTTTACCTTTAAACCCTTTTAAACAAGCAGAAATGTGAGAAGGAAATAATTTACAAAGTATAACATGAATGAAAACAAATCTTGAACTCAATAGCTAAGTCTTAAACTACAGATCAGAGTTACAATCTTAAAACAAGGTTACAACTGTGTTACATAATAAGAAAGAATACAACAACTAAGTTTCGCTTCCTCCAGCACATACTTGAATCCCTAATAAGATTTACTGCTCTTCAAATACACAGTGAATACTACTTCCGACCCAGCTAGATGTGGGAGGAGCTGAGGGCTGCAGCATGGGAAGGGTCCTGGGCAACAAGGGAGTCCCCAGCTGTACCCCTTCCTTCTGCTCTCCCTGCCTCATCCTTCAAAGCCTCATCATACAACATAGGGAAAGTATTAAGGGGCTTATCGACAACCTTAACCAAGAACTCGAGCACTTTCATTTTGGTGGTTTCAATTCGGGCTCTGGCACCCCACAGGAATTCATAACAGGGAGGATCACTGTCAGGTATCTGGCGGTACTCCAGGTATCCATCCAGCACCAAATCATTGGTGATGAGCTTTCTAGGCTCACCAAACTTTGCATACTTCATCCCATCATGAATCCCCAGGTCATTCAGGAATTTCCAAACATCTTCTTCAGTGGCACGATTGCCCTTCATAAAGATGATACCCAAGAGCATCATCACCATGCCCATCCTAGACAAGCCCCCAGTGGCACTCAGATTACTCTCACTGATGTCACCCAACTTGCTGGCAAGGGTTTCAGGTTTACTATTTGGCTTTGCTCCCTGAAAATCAATACCAAATAACCGCTCCATCTGCTGGGTTGCATTCCTGAAGATCTCAGGGAAGCGCTGCTTGTAATTTTTTTGGATGACCTTTAGCATATCTACCTGTGTAATAGGCTCTTTTATTTTAAGCTTCTCTAGCATGTTTTGCACCAGTGTATTATTCTTCCTGGTGAGTGGATCTTTGAACCTGCTCTTAGTGGGGACTGCCACCTGGAAGGTACTGGAACTTTCCTCATCAGTACCTGCATTAGGACCCTGGGCACCTACATCAGAACTAGTACAAGAAGCCCCTACATCATCACAGGCAGATGACTGGGCTCCCTGAGACTTGTGGGAAATGCAGACAGCACTGGAGCTGGGGAGAGCACCATCACCAGCAGGAGAAGCGGGTGAAGACTCCACTTCCTTCTCTTTGGGGGCCTGTGCACCCCAAGGACTCTCCCCGTGTTCCTGTTGACGCCTGGCACGGGAGCGATGCTTACTCTTCTGTCCCCTTGGCATGATGACTATGGTCAGATCTAGCAGGTAGGAGACCCAGCAAGGCAGAAATCTGAAGGAGGAGGGGAGAAAATGTACTTGTGAGAACTATCTCCAAGGGGAGAGCTCCCTGGCTTTAACCCAGGTTCTCTCTGCAGGTTTTCTTTCTAGTTTTTGCTCTACTTACCCACCCGGTCAATCTGTGTCCTCTCCAGGTCAGCCTGTGTTCTCTCCTAGTCAGCTTGTGTCCTGAGACTCCTGCAGAGGAAGTTATAGAGTTTTGTGTCACGGCACGATTCAAGGTTTACTTAGGGGACCACAATGAGAAGCAATATAGTGTCAAAGTCCTCAGAATGGTATTGGTTTACACTCAGGACAATTATACCTATTTTTTGCAAGGTCTAGATCCTTTCTTTGCACTGTTCTCCTGAAAGTAACAATAGTAACTTCTCTAGTAACAAAAAGGATGCATAAGAGAGCACCCCACCACTTCATTCAGGTAGATCTGGGACTCCTAGGTTTGATAAGAAAGGGTATATTTGATGGCTATTGGAAATGATCACTGTCCTCACTCTGTTTATGTGGCCTCAGAATCATTTCTTGCTCACCCCTTGACATTTTATTTGTCTAAGTCCCCCACCTCCTTAGTTCTGCAGAGAACAAATGATGGAGAAATTAGATCCTTTGTGCTGCTGGACCATACACAACAGAGTCAGGAGGGGCTCCGTATATCTGCACCCAATCCTCCTTTGAGTCTCCTCCATTTTCACAATAAGCTACATTTTAAGCTTCTAGGGCCAATGGGGCATTAGTGGCTCACATCTATAATCCTGGCTACTCTGGAGGCTGAGATCTGAGGATCTTGGTTGGGCTTAGAAGCTAGCCATGGCAGCAAAAGTCCATGAGACTCTCATCTCCAATTAATTGCCAGAAAGTTGCTCAAAGTGATAGAATGCTACCTTTGAGGAGAAAAGCTCAGGAACAGCGTGCCGGCACTGATTTCAAGCCCCACATTTGGGAAAAACAAAACAAAAAACAATTAGGGGGCAAAAGTTTGCCACTTTGGTGAACAGAATCTACCAGCCATAGATTAAGACCTTTGTTTATTGACATCAAGAGAAAAACTGGATCGGCCTTTTTAGTATAAATTGCAGTTCCCAAGGAATCATGGAGCCGTCGACGGACAGCACCACACGTGGTCACATTTTTCATGAGAATGGACTGTAACTTGGGGAGATTCCTTGTCACAATTTCAACTCAGGTTACTCACCAAGGCCTCTGAGCAAAAATCTTTTTGTTACCTGACTAGAAGCGGAATTTCCACACGGATGCCAAATAACGGCAGCTGAGGTGGGAATTACTGCCTCCTGCTTCTACTTCCGGTCTTGATTTCCCACTTCCGGTCTTCCACTGCCACGTTCTTCTCTCATCCGGGAACCTAGTCCTCAGAACCTGGGCTGTCCGTCTTCCTTTGTTGCTGAGGGGTGGGGTTCCAAGAGAGCTGACAGGAAGGTCCCTTTGACTTCCCAGAAGCCAATGAGTTTTCTCTTTCTTGAGGTAAATCAAACCATTCTTCACAAGATTGTTCTTTTTCCTGAGTCTAGAATGGGAAATAAAGTAGAGACGTAGAAGTAGTTATGCCTGAAACTTTTTAAGAAAATACTGTATATATGGCTGGGAAGGTGGCTCAGTGGCAGAGCGCTTGCCTTGCATGCCTGAGGCCCTGGGTTCAATTCCTTAGCACATAAGCAAAAAGAAAAAAGCTGGAAGTGGCTCTGTGGCTCAAGTGGTAGAGCGCTAGCCTTGAGCTGAAGAGCTGAGGGACAGCGCCCAGACCCAGAGTTCAGGCCCCACGACCCGACCCCCCCCCAAATAAAAAGAAAATACTGTATATGGTAGAGACCTTACCAACTAGCAGTGACTGGAATTTTTAAATTTTTTAAGTGCCAGTATTGGGGCTTGAATTTAGGGCTTGATTGGCATTTTGCTCAAGGCTGCCGCTCTACCATTTGAATCACACCTCTACTTCCAGCTATATTTTAGTTAATTGCAGATAAAAATTTCAGGGATTTCTTCCCCCCCCCCCCACACACCCTCCCTTCTTGCCCTGACTTTGAACTGTGATCCTCAAATCTGAGCCTTATAAGTAGCTATTATAACCCCTGCTTTCACTATATTTGATGTCAGTATAACTTGTGGAGGAGATGGGGAAAAACCAGTTGTTTAAGGATACAGGTGGACCTGTTGCAACAATGAGAAGTACAAGTTGTCATGTCCAAAACGAGCTTTACAACGTCGGTGTTGGAGGGGGTGGGAGGGTAGGAGAAGGATTGGGTTTGGGGGGGAGGGGGGAGGCTGGGAAGGGATGTGAAGGGTAAACAAAGGAGGAGGCTGCAATGCTTGGTAAGAAATGTATTATCCTGCCCATGCAATTGTAACCCCTCTGTACAGTATGTTCACAAATTAAATTAAATTAAATTAAAAAAAAAACATGAGCCATCAATGCTCACCTGAGATTCTTTTTTTTAAAACCATTTTTTGCCAGTTCTGAGTCTTGAACTCTGTTTCTAGTTAATTGTCACTATATTATTTCCTTAGTAGCATTAAATCTTTTCTGTACCCAGGGCTATATAATTTTACTTACCTAATATTTATTTTCATTTCTTTCATCATAAAGTAATAATATTTACAAAAATCTTTATATTACTTTTTCAAAGAACTGATTATCACTAATTTGCTTCATTATTTTCTAATTTACCAGTTTTTCATTTTTATTCCTTATCATCTACCATGTTCTTTGTGTCTAATTTGGTGATAATGGTAGTGAAGAGCCTTTTGTTTACTTAGAAATGTTCTCTACAATTTGAGCCATGACTCAATTCCTTTTTACTTTCTTTTTGAGATGAGATCTTGTATCTTTGCATAGTACAGCCTGGTGAATAATCTTCCTATTTACCTCTTCTGGATAGCTAAGCAAATAAGGCATGTGCCACCATGCTCTGCTATTGACTGAGATTAACCTCTCACTACCTTTTTATTGCTCGTACTGTCCTTGAAATCTTTTCATTCAGATCTCAACATCCTGAGTAGCTTGGATTACATGTTTGAGCCATCATGGCTGGCTAAATATTTTTAATGAAATAAAATTCCTATGAGAGTGATTTGGGCTGATTCCAAAAATAGTTGGAATCAACATTTTGTGTAGTATTCAATTTTTCTTCAAGTTGAGTATATCTGTCATAATTCTCTATAACATTTTAAATATATACAAATATATTTATATATATTCATATATAGAAAAGGGAGTGATTATTCACACATATGCCATAGAGTGACTGTAACAATACTAAAAAAAGAAATTTAAGGATATATAGGATATTTTTCTGTGGTATATTTTACTTACTAATGATAGACGAAACTTTAATGTCTAGTTACAGATAACTGACATTCTCTTTTTGTGTGTGTGCTGGCCCTGGGGCTTGAACTCAGGGCCTGGTTGCCATCCCTGAGCTTTTGTGCTCAATCTAGTTGGACCACAGCAATAATTTTGGTTTTGTTGGTAGTTAATTGGAGATAAGAATCTCATAGGTTTTCCTGCCTAGGATGGCTTCAAACCACAATCCTCAAATCTCAGACTCTTGAGTAGCTAGGATTACAGGTATGAGTGCCTGGCTTTCTTTCTCCTCCCTCCCTCTCTCCCTCTCCCCCCCTCTCTCCCTCTCTCTCTCTCTCTTGATCTCTCTCTCCCTCTCTCTCTCTTTTTTTCTCTCTCTCCCTCTCTCTCTCTCTCTTTCAGAAACAAAGTGTTTTACATAAGAAAATTCATAAAAATAATGCTAATTAAAAATCTTCATGGATTACACAGGAAAACACAAATAATTCTAAATGTATAACTTAGTATGGATTTTAAAAATTACTAAACTTTATTTTATATTATTTTATTTGGGGCAGTACTAGGGATTGGACTAAGGACCTTATGCTAATTAAGAAGGTGCTATATATCTTGAACTATGCCTGGAGCCATTTTTGTTTCTGTTATTATTTGAAGAAGGTATTGCTTTTATACCAGGGTACAGGTATGAATATTTATCTCCCTGTTTATGTTTCCCCCATAAGAGAGATTACAGATGTCTCATTTTAATGCTTGAGATGGGATCTTGGTCTTATGAAACTTTTGCCTGGGCTGGCCTAGAAATGATTGTCTTGATGTCCACTTCTCAAGTAGAAAGAATCATTTATGTGAGCTACGAGACTCACACATTTTTTAGACCAATTTCCATTTTACAACAAAATTGAGTGAACTATCACATCTGTCCATCACACAGATTTTCTTGGTATTGACCTCTAGTACCACTAAGATCATATTATTTACAATTAAGGAATCTATACTAAGGTGTTATTTTAAACTGAGTTCCATAGTTCACATTCCCATTTACTTTTTTGGTTATATAGTACCAGTATACCATTGTTCCAAATGCCTTCAGTATATCAAAAATTCTCTGTACTTTATTCAACCTCCTTTATTAAAACCTCTTTTTATACCTTTGAAACCCTTACCTTTAAAAGTTATTTTCATAAATTTGTTTTTTTCCAGAATGTCATAATGTGAGAATCATATAGTATGTAGCCTTTCTCAGATAGGCTAGTTTCACATAGCAAAACACACTTATAGGTCACCCATGCCATTTCAGGAAAAACTTATACTTTGAAGTCTTTCCTGTGTGGGGAGCAGAAAATTTTCCTTTCACTTTTTCTATTTCTCCCTACCTTACCTCTGTTATATTAAAATAAATCCTTGCTAAAACTTCTAAAAATAATTCATTCCTTTTATCACTAGACATTGTTCTAGTGTATGAATGTATCTATTGAAAGACATCTTAGATTTTTTTCTTTATTTGGCAACTATGCATAAAAATCTGCTGTGAGTATTTTTTTGAGAAGTTTTGTGTTGACATAGCTTTCAAACTGTTAGGGGATAAACACTATGAAGTATAATTGTTGGATAATATAATAAGAATATGTTC